GTGTGTGTGTGTGTGTGCGCGCATGTGTTAGGGTTAGTGTTCGCAGTAAATTCTGCATGATAGTGTGTGTATGTGAAAACAGAGGTTGACAAACTACAAAGCAGAAAGTGAGGTTAAGTGTGTTAACCCCCATATCCGCTGGAAGCAGTTTGTCACAATTATTTGCTCACATCTGTATCTGCTTTACCTGTTTGAAACCCCAGTGTCTCATTTCTCAGGTTTATAGCAGTGAATGTTACACCATTCCATAAATTCTTTTGACCACAGTGTTGCCAAAGGGGTCAAAGCTCACAGAAACCAGCGACGGCTCAGTCTCTTTTATTTGCTGCACCCCTTCAGCATGTTGCTTTTATCTTTCAGTTTCTTATAAACCTCCTCAGATGTGTCATCTGCCATTTTGGACCTCATACAAAGCCCTGAACATCGGTTTATTAAACCAGTTACTGACCGCAAAATCGTAATCACCAGCAGAACCTCCCGGTTCCCACAGGCCCAAGCTCGCGTTCAAGTGTTCCACGTTCTTATCCAAGCTGTCTGGTGAGCAGCTGTGCACCCATGTGTCTGCCGACAGACCCCATCTACATACTGTGTGTGAGAATGAGAGGATGTGGTTGTTGTCATGGATGTTTATTGACACCCAATCCTGTTTTGGTTGAAATACCAGATATCTTTCCTATCAGGGACCTTTAGGTGTGACTTCTTTCTACAAAAGAGATACTTTAATACATTAAGCATGCTGTAAACAGATTCAGTACTGCTGGCTGCTGTCCCTCTGTTTGTTGCTTTTTGCAAAAAAGGTCCAATCATCTACTCAGCTTAAGTTTCAAGAACATGGCACTGTTGGTATTACTTTGTTTTTTAGTATGGAAGCGGGGAGAGTTTTCAGTCACTGTATATTGTGTGTAACAATTGCATTAGTCAAACATGTAGAGATGACATGTGTCATTTTTTATATCATTACTGTAACTAGGTGTAGATAAGTAGCTGAGTGTGCCAGTCTTTACATTGTGAGTCAGGAATTCCGTTCAACATATTTATTCAGGATCTAGTTTAAACTGTACCGTCCAGTGTAGTAGTGAGTTCAAGGATCTGAGTGATGCAGGATTGTGTCTGAGAGGTGGAAGTGTGGAAGACTTGTACTTGTTGATACTCTGGAAAGGATTACACTGACACTATGGATTACTGGGAGCAGTGTAACATGGGGCAATGACCAAGTTCTGTCAACTTCACAAAGAATGTGAAACGTATCAACATGTAGACTTAAATGTTTATTATACTATAAAATCTTCAAATATAGTGGTAAGAGTGATTCTCAGAGGTTGTCAAACAATGTCTGCTGTTTCCATCCTTGTGATGTAAAGATGTATTGCATTATAATTATTATTCTACCATAATGTATTTACATCATACAACTTCCATATATTTACCATAGATAGCATTGTAACTATAGCATCCTCATTGAATTATAGCAATAATTCTGTGAATACTTTCCTTTTACTCTGTCACTCACTCTGTGTCTAACTGGATGGCCACTGTTCAGCAGTCTCTCTCTCTCAGTTTCCAACAGTCCTCCTTTTTCCTCCTGATCTCATTTTCTGCATCCCTCCCCTCCCCCTCTCCAGCTGCACCACTCTGCAGCAGAGAGTGAAAGAGACAGAGAGAAAAGGAGGAGATTGCTCAGTGTAGGACATTTTGTTCGGTCTATAAAAAGACATTAAAAGCCAAACTGTGTCGTTTCATCCCCGAGTAGGTCATTGTGTTCGTGACAAGAAGAAATATATTCTATCTACCACTTTTCAGTCATTTGGCATCAGATACTTGAATACGTGTATAAACGTGCTTTCGTTGAAGAACATATTATCAGTGTGTGTTTGTGCATCTAAGCATCATTTCTGTTCCTGTCCTTTGTCTTCTTCTTTACCCTCCATGTTTTTTTTGTGGTTCCTTTTTTGCCACCATTGCCTGCTTGCAGGAAGCTGGGTGGGATGCAAGTAAGCGAGGTGGGATGTGTTGCCATAGCAACAAGCTGACTCACTGGCAGGGCTGTACCATTTTCATGGAGCCACAGGGGGCCAGCATCAGATGCAGCCTGGCATGTGTGATGGCTCCATGTATTTGTTGTTACTGGGAGGACAGGAGACACCCCTACTTTGGGCAATGAGGTGCAGCATCCTGAAACCAGGGGTGGTGATGATGATGGAGAGAAGGGAGGGGGAGGGTGTGATCATGGATGGCTTGTGATATTTATTCTGATCAGTGCTGCCCTGTTTGTTTTGCCTTCCCTTGTTTCAGTAACCCATGATCCATTATGAGTGGAGTGACTAATAGTAGCCTTTGATTTAAGTTCTTATTACATTCCTGTTTTTTGTTATATGAATAGAAAAGAACAGCCTCTTGACATCCTATGTTTGTGTCTTTGTTGCTTCTATTCCTGAGGGATTGGTTCATTTTGTATGTCCGGGTGTTTTTGAGCAATATTATCGTATTATGTATTATCCAAAATCTTTTAATCTGCACAAACACAAGGTATATTATGTACACCTTTATGTAAAC